GGGGGGGGTGAAATATTGCATTTTAAAAAATTTGAATAGACCGATGGAAAGGGCATAAGATACTGTAAAACTTTTGTCTGAAATATTTTTTCATATACCTCATATTTTAGGAAATATTAAATAAAAATGAAAAAGTCCGTTTTTTTCAAGGGGTGGTTTCAACCCCTAAACCTCGAGATAAGCACATAAAAAAAAATACGTGTCTAATGTTTTTTGATGCTCTACAACATATCCAATGCTCATCAAATTCGGTGAGGGACGCCCCCGACCGTTTCCTTGTGAGTGGGCCCCCCCTGGCCCCTCGAGAAACGTCAAGCTGAAAATGTAAACAGTACGGCAGCTCTGGCTCTCGGCATGACGGCGGCAATTATCGCGTTGCTGAATATTCGTGATCGATCGAATATTTCGGCACGCGATATACGATTCCAGAATATTCTCTGTCCGATAGTGATCGAATTTTCGAGAACTATTCTGGCAATCGACGGAAAAGAAGATCGTTATCCTGATCAGGAGCGTATTCACCTGAGCGGTTGCGATAGTGGTGTAGGCGATGGGTCCCTCGTCCCACGGCGTCCTCGGCTTCCCTCCTCTTCGTTGGTCGACCAGAAGGGGAGCCTGGGGGCACAAAACTCGGGGGCGCAATGACCTCTCTATCTGCTACACGAATTTTCCGAATCGTTTAACCGCCGGCGGACGCCGGCGTACGCGAAACAAAACGCGGGTTCGGTCGCGGCGGCGGAAATATTCGCGACGTTGGTTCGTATTTCTTTGTGACGGGCGCCTCCACGGCCGCCACGTCACAAGGTTATAACCTATAGGCTACTCTTTGTATCTTATTTATTTATATTAAATTGATTAACTTTTTCGTCTTATGTATTTTTTTCGTTTTTAATAAATACATCGCTGCAATCGCTTGCAGCAGCTATATGTCGTCTTCGAACTTCACCTATAATCGCCACTGTACATCTATAATATTTTATATATCTCGATTATTACACTCTATTTTTATACTTATTGCAGTTTATACAGGAGGTTAAACGTGGTGAATAGGATATGGGCGACAGCGAACAGCGTTATAACGCTACTTTGAACTATGCTGAAGTGGGGATAAAACGCTAGCTTTTATTCGCTCCATGAAAAGGATACAGGTGATAGCGAACAGCTTTTAAACGCTGCTTTGAACAACGATGGAGTGGGGTGAAACGCCAGCTTTTATTCGCTGCGTGAAATCGCACCTTTAGAAGCTGCTTGGAACCAATCTGGAGAGAGAGAGAGAGAGAGAGAGAGAGAGAGAGAGAGAGAGAGAACGCACTCTTGAGAACGTCAGAGTTTTAACAAAATTGAGTGATAGTTTTCGTATTTATAAAAGAGGTGAGTACCAGTTTACAATATATATGATGGAATGATACAGTTATCTCAAAGAAATCAAGACTGTAAAGCTAGTGGCACATGGAAAAACGTAAGCAGTAAGACATAAGAAGTAAGCAAATTGATCAATCATAACCGGCTATTCTCCTTATGGTTTGAAAATAATTGACTGTGGTTAGTTCATTTTCGTACTGCTTAATCGTCTTACTTTTTTGTCTAACAGTGCACATGTTATATTCATTTCTGTTGAAACAATTAGTATTTCTCTACATATATCCATTATTCATGTATTTGTAGTGTATTCAATGAACGATATAAAAATGAATGAAAAATTATTAGTTGATAATTATGAATTATGAATTTAAGTGATTTCAAATATAACTTGAGAAAAATCACCTATAAACACAATAACATTAATCAATGTAATAATTTCTTATTCAACAATGTAATATAATATGTGTTATATATAATACACATTGTTGAGTGACAAATTATAACCTTGTAATATTACTATTTGTTGTTTACTGGGAATACTACTCTAATAATATTACTATTTCATATCTTTCAACAGTATTTACTACAGAAGAGAAAAGTAGTTTTCCATCATTACTAATTCTTTTATTGGACATGATCATGCCGAAGAGATCTCAAGCTGGGTTTTATAAAAAAAATAAGCACAGAATTTAATAAAAATTTATCTTTAATCTCTAAAGAATTTATAAGTGAAAAAAAAACGATGCTATAAAGAAAGATATTACTGAAACTATGCTACTATCAAAATCTGATGATATTATTAAAGAAAATTTGAACACAGATGTACGAAAGGATGATTTATATGTTATAAACGATATAAGCAATTTATGGAATAAACAATTAGACGATAAAAAAGATACTGCTTCAATGTCAGGTTCATCTTTTATAAGTAATTTAAAAAATTGGGCATTGAAACATAAAATTAGTAACTCAGCTTTCTCTGATCTTCTAAAATTATTAAACACAAGTTACGTTAAACCAAAGGACTTTAGATGCAAGAACTCTTTTACATACTCCTAGAACTCTAGAAATTCAAAAAATGGAGCCAGGAACATATTATCATTTCGGTCTTTCTGAGGTGATACAAAAATTGTGCAAAGATGACAGTTCAGACACAATTGAAGTATTAATAAATATTGATGGTCTACCTTTGAGTAAAAGTTCATATATCTAATATTATGTAGTTTATATTCAAATCCTACAAAAGTAGCTGCTATAGGAATCTATCATGGCTATGAAAAGCCAGCAAATATCAATGAATTTTTACTACAATTTGTCAATGAAGCAATAGTTCTAACAGTAAATGGCATTAATATTAATGGAAATATAAAACAATTTAAAATAAAAGGATTAATATGTGATGCTCCTGCTAAAGCTCTTATTTGTTATATAAAAGGTCATACAGGTTTTTATTCTTGTACAAAATGTTTCCAAAAAGGAACATCTTAAAAGGGCGAACTTGTTTTCCTAAAATTAATTGTAAAAAAAGGACAGGTCAGAATTTTCAAAATAAATGCCAGATTCAACATCATTCTGGTATTTCTGTTATAGAGAGAATTCCAGGAATAGATATGGTTTCTCATGTGCCATTGGAATATATGCACCTCATTTGTTTAGGTTTCATGAAAAAATTGTTGATGATGTGGATTTTTGGAAAACCACATATGAAATTTAAATCTGAACAAGTTAATAAAATTACTATCAATTACTATCAATAGTTAAATATACACTAAAAGAATTTGCTCGAAAGCGACGTTCTTTAAATGAAATTAAGAGATGGAAAGCAACGGAAATGAGATTCTTTTTGTTATATGCAGGACCAGTCGTTTTAAAAGGAAACATTGATATTGATAGATATATACATTTCCTTGGCCTATACATTGCAGTGACAATTTTTTCGAATGATGAATATATCCAGAAATATGCAGACTATGCGCACTCATTACTCAAGTATTTTGTTAAAAATTTTAGTAAATTATACGGAAAAGAAAATATATCTCATGATATACATGGCTTAATCCATGTATATAATGATATACAAATGTTTGGAAATTTGAATAAATATAGCGCATTTCCATTTGAAAATTATCTTCAAAGTTTAAAGAATTTACTTAGAAAACACGAAAAACCATTAAAATTGTAAGACGGATAAAAGAACAGGTATTAGATTCAAAAGAAGTCGATAAAGAAAGTGTTTTATGCGAGCGAGAATACTTTGAAGGTCTAGTTCCTAATCAAAAATATATTCAATTTAAAAAGCTTATTCTTGAAAAGATTAGTTTCAATATTGAAAACCTTGGAGACTCATTTTGTTATTTAACAAGTGGACATGTCATGAAGATTGAAAATATTTTAGTAAGGAAAGATACGTGTATGGAAGAATATTCCTCGAAACAAGTAATTTGTTTGACCATCCTTGCGACTCGAGTACTTTTTACATATATATTGCAAAGAAGTTGGGTGATTATTGTATGCGAAATGTGAGAGATATAAAAACCAAAATGGTCGCCTTTACTCAAGAAGAAGACTTATGTTTCATATTTTATCCACTTCTTCATTAAAATGTGACTATAAATTTGTTACATTTCTATAATTTTCATATTGTTTCAAGAGTAAGTGAAACAATATATTAACAAATTATAATTAATCAGTTTTTTTTAATTTGTTTTTATTCTAGATATCATGGCAATGAGTTGGAGGGTAGTGCATTTCATTAAAGAAGACATAGTTGAAGCTGTGCCAGCGTCCTGGGTCAAAGAAATTAACGGGTGTTTTTGGTCACCATACAGTGAATTAAAATTAAGAACATTAATAAATAACTGCGCCCCACCTGCCCATGATTGGGATGTTCACCAATCAAGGCTAATCGGTGAATTATATCGATACATATTGTTTGCGAAAATGTATAATTTTCTTATATATTATATCAATGACTATGTAACAATAATTGTAGGAGACTTGAATATAGCAAGAAATAAAGCAGCTAAAGCTGAAGAAACTTCTGATTTAACATCTGAAACTGAAGGACGTGCAAGGAAAATAAAAAAGAAACGCAGATTAATATCTGAGTCAGAATCAGATACAAATTTCATTACTTTCAACATTTCAACTGAAGAAAGGGTTATAAATGAAGACAGCGAATATAGTGATAAAGAAAATGAAATAATTAATATTCCAATTTTAAGGAAGGCTGCCAAAGGTAATAGTGGTATATTTAATTCATAAAATAACCGAAAAATGTTTTTTTTTTTTTTTTTAGAAAATGCTGTAGCATCAACGTCAAAACATATGGCCAATATTCAAGCTGATTCAGGTTAGTAGCAATTAACTTGCATTTTTTCAAATAAAACTCACAGATATTTTTTTAGTGCTGCGTATAATAACTGCAGAAGTTCCACCTACAGTTAAGCCTCAAAACGCTTCTACAGGTATTGCATTAACCGAATTGAACATTTCCTATCAAATACAATTCTAATTCGGGATTCACAATGCTTTTAGTATCATTACAAGTAAACATATATATCAATGTCAAATATTATTTTGTAAACGTTATCAATCTTTCATGTATTCTGAGTAATCATTACGTTTGTTTTAATTTTCCGATGAAGCCTATAAAAGGCAAGTTAGCACTGAGAATGCTAACAATTCTTCATTATAAGATGGACCAAATGGCGGAAGATTTACATAATTGTAAGATAAATAATATTATGGATAAAGAAGTTCCCAATACAATGGAATCTTTATTTGATAAATTCGACTTTCCGTTACGTTCGATGGAAGTACTTCATACTTTGGAAATTTATTTAGAAAATGAAAAAAAGAAAAAAGAAGCTGTAAGTTATTTGGATAAATTTTAATAATACAAGTGCTAGTTCTCTTATCAAAAATTATTCATATATAACTATGTATAATTCCATTCCAACCGGCAGCCAGTTATCAATTCACGTGTATTACTGGCAGATGGTCAGGGTAAAAACGAAGGGATGTGAAGTGACAATTTGTTTTCACAACATGTGACAAGTTCATGTTCAACACGTTTTTTCTTTACATCTCAATCCATAGAACAAATGTTCAAAAGATATACTAATGACGTTCCAGAATCTCGCATATATCTAGAACATTTCTAGAATGTCTTTTGGACATTTGTGTTGTATACGACGTAGAGAAAATGAACAGTTTTGTAAAAGCACAATAGTAATCAATTAATTAGATATTAATTATATATAATTAATTATATAATGTATGGACAAATTTCATGCATAATTTTGTATGCATCATTATGTATGAATAATTTTTGACTGAGTTTATTGCAGTTCAATATAAATCATGTCTGAATAAGTCTTATTATCACTTTATTAAAATTTTTAGGTAATAGATCTTTCAAGATTAGGAGCAGCAAATATGAAAATTATGGTTAAAAGAATAATGGAAAAAATTTTTTCCAACGATTTGGCTATGCGATATTCTTGGATAAGATTTAAAAAGATAGAAAATTTTTCTACTGTAATTATTTCCTACTGTAATATTATTTATAACAAGTTTTTATAGAAAATTATTACTTTGCTTTTGTAATTAAACAATTTATACTATATTTTCAGAATCTGTAATGAAATTACACACAGGTGCTACAGCATCAGAAGTTAAAACTGCCATAAAAATGTGGTTAGTTAAAGCAAAGGAAAGACTGACAAAACAACAGCAAGAGTGATATATTGGCCGCGTTCAGTAAAACAAGTGATCAGTAAGCGCTCAGGGAGCTCTTGTATATGATTTGGCATATTCTTTTAGATCTCCAACTATACTCCAATCAGATGCAAGAGCTCACTGAGCGCTTACTGATCACTTGTTCTACTGAACGCGACCATTGTTTCCTTTTTTTAATCTACAGTTTATGTCTACATAATATTTAGAATATTTTTGTTTCTCTTATATTTTAATTAATGTACATGTAGTACCTGAATGTTTTTGTTTCTCTGATATATTAGTTTATGTTCACATATTATGTGAATGCACTGATTTAATATTACTAACTAATGTTATTGAATATATTGATTTAATATTACAGAGTCATATTTTTTGTTTAATTTTATCTACAGTATATATTTGTATAATGTACAGTATTTTACTTTCTTTGATATGTTATTTTCTTCAAATTTTATACTGGTTCAATGATACTTTTTAAATATATTAATATAAATATATTCTACATATAATTAAACGTTAATTATATTAGTATCTCTTTCCTTTATCTATACCTTCTTTTAATATTCAGTCCCGTATTCAAAACGTATATATAACGATGTTTGCGCGTTAACAAATCAATGCCTACATTCTGTTTAGATGCTTATGCGCTGTAAGCGTTATTCTATCTTCTTTTGGAATCTAATGAACAACAAAGATAGAATGACAATTAAAGTATGTAAGCGCCCAAATGGAACGCAGCCTTTGACTTATTAACGCGGTAACATCGTTGTATGCATGTTTTGAATACGGACCTACATTTATTTACGAATATTCAGAAAAGATTCCATAAAACTGCACAGAATATTCTCTAAAAGTTCATTTCATATTCAGAGAATGTTTTTATAATATCTATAAAATATTCTTACAATATTCTATACAGTGATTAGAATAATCCTAAAATATTTTATAGAATATTTATAGAACGTTCACAGAACACGACTTTTTGTCTACTTCTAATGTTCCAGTGAAGATTCATAAGCACTCCGAAGTATCATGTGAGAATATTCTAGGAATATTCAAACATTCTCCGAAGTTATTCTATGAATGTTCATAGAACGGGGAGCGGTGCACTTGGACACGGTGCATTTGGACACAGCCAATCACAGCACCGTGTGATTAAAGACATTTGTAGGGTCCCTTGGAACAGCGACTTGTGATTGGACTGTGTCCAATTGATATACACCCCATAGAACGTACTTGTGCTGTCTGGGGATTGGTTAACGCTTTAACGCTCGACGCTGGAACACTCCCATGTATTGGCACCTTTAGGTAGCTTTGGGTTGTCATGAATCACATAATAATAGTAGATGGTGATGTCTGTACTTATTTCTGCTCTAGTGAAATGACTCGGAAAGATATTATCGGAAACACACTAGATGTTTCCTTAAGACTGTCCACGATTTTTTACGTTAGTTAAATAAAGACAGATAATCAACACTATCTGTTCTTGTCTCACTACAGACGAGAAATAATCGCAGCGGTAGACACAGAGGCGAGTTAGGGGCGATATTATCGTTAAAGTAACATCTCGCTCAGCTATTGAGGCATTGCGTTATTCGTAATTCCGGAAGAATTTTCAGGATTACGTTTTGTGGCCATTGTAAATGAGTAATATTTTGCATGGCAACACTGAGTTAGATAGAAGAGAAGGAAATAATTTTAATTTGAGTATTATATGCAGACTTTTATATGTCGCTAACATTTATTGCTTATTTCTCGGCAACTACAAAAGATATTGATGTCATTAAAAAAACATTGACTTTTCAACAGTTTATTCTATTAGCATTAATGTTTCATAATAGTACAAATAATACCACTGCTTTAGGTAAAGCGTGGGAGCGCGCGTACATCTCAACATCACGGGCTCTTACATACCGCTAGCATTTATTGTTTATTTCTCAGCAACTACAAAAAAGATATTAATGCTACTCAAAAAGCACCGACTTTTCTACAGTTTATTGTATTGGAAT